ATCTTACATACACATAGCCAGTCACAGCAATGTTGGCAGACCAGCTTGTACTAAATCCTCTCACTGAAAACGTTGACACTCGGTGATGCATACACAGATATATATGGATCATTTAGTATACATACATAGAAATGTGTATATATATTTATATACACACATATGGGTGTGTCTACGTAAATATCTATTTATCAGCACTGACAAACTTAACGATTCCCATCTATAAATGAGTGTCTGCACACACACACAAGTATCAAGTCTGCTAAAATGATAGCAAAGCTTTGCAGGGCTGTGAAACAAAAAGGTTTTTTCTCTTTATGTAGGTTTGGAGAGATGTTTAGCACAGGAGATGAAGTGGCAGGGGTAATAATTATGAGTCAGAGCTGGAACAACATAAAGCCCTTCTCTGGATCCACAAAATCATCTTGTCTCTGATTCGAATGGTACAGATTAGCAACTCTCTCGAGCAAATACTACTTCTGTTTGGATATATCACAATTGACTAGAAGGGGAATATACACTGATTTCTTTCGCCTAGTGGACAACCTCAGGCAAGTAACATGCTGTGCCTACAGCTTGTCAACACAGAAGTGTTAGATGTGACTCATTAGAATGTGAAATCATTAAACAATATACTGATCACCAGCGAGGGCTAGAAGTTGGGAAACTGTAGATTCAAAAAGACTAGTGCTTTTTAGGGTCTCATTTGGGGACCCATTGGGTCACCTAAAACCAAGCCTAACCCATCATCCTTATGTATTTGATTTATTTTCCTAAAGGACCCTTTGTTTTCTATAGCTGCTTTCCTCACAACTGCACCAAACGCTGCAACGTGCTTTGGTACACATCTCTTGAAGTGCTGTGACACTAAAGAAGTTGAACTGACCATCTTGTTAGATGAGACAAGTGTCAAAACAACAACAGAAGCAACTGCAGAATTTGATGACCAGCCAGGAATGGAGGGTGAATTCGCCTTGGTTAGGCAGTAGCTCCAAGTTAGACCAGCTCACACAGTCTCGTGATACTTCCCCCTCTGCGTCACAAAACTACATTCTTAGCAGAGCCCACTCAGCTGTGATTGTAAGGAAATAATTCATCTTGAACTCTCATAGCCATATGAAATACAAAATCCTTGTATAATTGAGGTTGGAACAGACCTCTGCAAGACATCTTGTCCAATTCTCCACTAAAAGCAGCTCCTGATTCAAAATACCTTAAGATATTCAGAATCATATAACGCCCCTATATGCAAATCTACAGATTTTAGCATTCTAGTTAAGTTCTTTAAGACTGTCTTAGGACATGTATACAAAGCACAGAAGATCCAAAAAGCCTAGGATGCTCATACAATACAGACAGATACTGCAACTGCTCACGTAACAGCCAGGAAGTGGTATGAAATTCTGTGCTAAAACTGCTGCTGCTTCCTACAGCCCAGAGAGCCTCTCACAGGACATGTCACAAAATGAAGGCTAGGAGTAATAGTCACTCTACTGATATACTGATTTTAATAGGATAGCATTATAATAATATTGTTAATAATGCAATATGTTAATAATAGTTGGAGTATGGTGACTATTTAATACACATTCCCCTCAGAATATTGTTTTTTGGAAGTAGTTGAACACAGATCAGTTTGATGCAAATCAATGGAAGAAATTTTCCCCTAACAGGAATCAGCTGAGACCATGAGATGAAATATTTTGCATTTTCCAGGATGAAATACAAATCTTTAAAAGCCACTAACCTACCCAGTGTGGCGGTACACAAATATGAGCACAGTCTTGGTCTGCCTGCCTCAGCCCTGCCTCTACTCTAACAGCTCTGATTGTTCTCATCGTCAGCGAGGGGATACTAACCCCAAGCTATTGTGCTCCTGTCACCAGTTTCTTGAAATCATTGGAATTTCTACCCACAAAGACAAACTCCATGTACCTCCAACCACCATGTGTTATCTTGGTTCAGAGGACGGCCAGTAGCCACAGAAAGGCATTGATTTCTTCTCAGCCAAAGCTTCCATAAGCTCAGCATGATCCTAAACTGCCCTTATAGATGAGTTCACTAAAATTCCCATTGTGAGAAATACCTAAGTGATCTGCATAGAAATGGTTTGCATACGGGCTTTATAAATGGGCTCTTTCCTCCTCAGTTCCTTTAACGCTGCAGATAGGAATTTCTCTAAACATTTATGGCAAGTATCATGTGACATTTCTTTGCATTGCTTTTACAGACTCTTAAGAATAGCTTTAAAAATTGCTAATGAAGACATTAATAATAAAAATGATACCAATAACGATAGCTATAATAATAATAATACACCTGCAAAGATTTCAAAAGAGTCAGCTCTCAACAAAGCTGATATACAATATTCAACAAAATAACTCACTTCCTACATTCTCCATCAAAAGACTACAGAGATATAAGCAACAATAACCTTAGCTTTAAAACGCATCTTTCACCTCGAAAGAAAACTGCATTGATTTATAAAGTAAATGGGCTAAATCCAGGGCTAGGTGAAACTGATTAGCTCCATCGATTTCAATGAAGGTGCTGATGTGCAGATTTATTTGAGCTCAGATCTGTCTCTCTGCATGTGTGTGTGTCCGTGTCTGCATGTGCGTGTGGTTGGAAAGCAATACACTACGCGCATTGCACAAAGAATTTCACAGAAAAAACACCATATTAACCAACACAGAAAGTGACACATTATTGCTGCATTTGGAGAAAAAAAATGTGTAGAGTAAATAGAAGGCAGGCTCTAATCTTTAGCTGAGGATTGGCGTATATTTCCTCAAAAGGATGTTCACAGCAGTCTTGTGAAAAGGCTCACAGGTATATCATATGTTGTTGTGTTTTGTGCTTTGCAAAAATAGGGGAAATATTTGCAGATAGCAAGGCAGCAGATGCACAGATATATTCTTCAACACAAACAAGTACTCCACTTTTATGAAGAAAAAGACAAAGCCAAGGCATGATTTTGGAGTAAAGCAAAAACTAGCAACCCTGCCAGAATTGATATCACCGCTACTCTGACAAAATGTCAACAGCTGCCTGTGACATAGACACAGAGGCTGCCTCATTCTGCCTGTTTGGGAAATAAACTTAAGGGTGTTGCTCCTATGTTTTATAGGCATAAAGGATAATCATAATTACTTTGTCTGGCTTTCCTAGGACACATGAGCACAGGAGATATAGATGAGCTATAAAGGAGTTGGCTACACCTTCCTGATCCTGTCAAGACTACAGCACGAACATGCTGCTTCTGTCATGGCATAGATGGCAAAGAAACCAGCTCAAATGACCCTTTGCCAGAAGAGGATTTTCCCCCAGCCTCTTTCTTGCGGCTAAAGTGAGCTCAGCTGCAAG